TTCTGATATAAACAGAGGCGGTTTTCTGGTAAACTCTGATGCTCAGGGCGAAGGTTAGCAATACAGTTATTACCCAACTGACTGAATGCTCAGTGGTGACAGAAAATATTTACATGGTGTATGCTTGAAATAATTTGCTGAAAAAAGGCCCAGTGAACCGGTCAGTGATGCTGAAGTGGACACCTGTGGACAATGGATGTTGTGACAGTGAAATGACCCCTGGTGACATCGTGATGTATCACAACCATCTATATGTCACTGCAGTGTCGTGTTACAAACTGATACAATATTGCCATTGCTGTGTTCACACTCATACCATTTAAGGTGCAATAGGAGCAGGTCTAACTTTAAACTTGGAATAATTAACTGACATCACAACAGATGGTCAACTGAGCTGTGAATTATTTTATTAGTTTGGAAAAACGTGTGCAACTATGGAAAGAAATTAGATCAAGACACCTTGATAATATGTCACTTAAGAAGTATTTTGGTCTCAAAAGAATTTTACAAGTGTGGCAAAAATAGGCAACATTATTTTTCACAAACTGTCTACATGGTATTCAAGTCAACATTATAGCCACATTAATGATATAATATCCATAATATAATTACAGTGTAGACAAACATATTGAAGTGTATCTCACTTGTGTTTCATTTTTTGCTTTCAGGTCTTGGAAGCAAGGAATCAATTACAATGCAAGAGGAAGCCTCCACTACTGGTAAAGATAGCTCCAGACCTTACAGAGCAGGATAAGATAGACATTGCTGCTGTCCTAGCAAGACCCAATGTAAGTGAGCCATAATAAACTGGAGAGCTCACAATATAACATTTGTGTTTGGTGTATTTAGTACTGTGGAATAGATTTTTAATTTTCTGGTTCATTTTATTTTTTTATCATCTTTTTCACTTAAAAACATGATATATGTATGCAGCAGGGAATACTGCTCATGGTGCTGAAAAAAAAATTTGTTGTGTTAGTGAAGCAAATGATTGTGTTACCTTCTCAACAGTAGAAATGCTGATAATTTTATGAGCATTGGGACTTGTGTAAAGACTACAGATGAAGTCATTTGATGCACAAACTATAAGTTTATAAAGAAAGATTTAATATGTACCAAATACAAAATTTCTGAATGTGCCTAAAAGCATTATTTAAGATAACGTAAAAGCAACCTTATGAAGATCTTAGACTACTAGTAATTTATTCACTTTTCAGAAGTCTGTGGATGGTTTGATTATTTCAAATACAACTGTAAGTCGTCCGCCATCTTTACAAAGCAAAAGTAAGGATGAAACAGGTGGTTTGAGTGGAGCACCTCTTAAAGAGCTTTCAACACAGACCTTGAGGGACATGTACAAACTTACTCAAGGTAAAATGGTCGAGTTATATTGAATTTATAGGTAATAGCTACAAGAGAGGTTGAAATAAGACTTAACTTGTAAGCCAGGCCTTTTTACAACAAAATTTTAAAACAAGCATACACATGCATGCATACACAATGTCTGAACTCAACAGATTGATGAATTGATGGTTAAAACAGTCACCAGCCAAGCAGAAGGCCACCTTGATACATTTTGGAGATCAGCATATTCTTTAGGCTAGGTAAATATATAAAATTTGAACAATCCAGTTAAAACATATTAAGAAAAAATTGCCAGATATCAGATGATTTATGTGATTGACTTAACTTGCATTCAACTAGGTCGTCTTCCAATTATTGGTGTTGGAGGTGTGGCTAGTGGGGAGGACGCCTACGAGAAAATTAAAGCAGGTGCCTCTCTTGTACAACTGTATACAGCTTTGTCTTATGAAGGACCACCAATTGTTGACAGAATAAGAAGAGAACTAGATGAGCTATTAGAGTGAGTGACTTATTCACCTGATTCCTTCTTAGGCTCAGGTTATCTTACATTTGAAAGTGGGGCCAAATGCTAAAGAAGTTTTTCTTTAGAAATAATTAAAGAATATTTGTTTATAGACGAGTGTCTTTTGGGATATTTGTAACTGATTTTGTGGAAAAAGCATTAAGTTAAACTTCATTTGCTTGTTTAATGTTAGGAATCAATTACTGTAATTTTTTCCATATGAACTGATGATGTTAGGATTTTTTTGATATACCAATTTTCTTGTTGTTTTCAGAAAAGATGGTTATTCAAGTGTAACAGAAGCAGTGGGTTTTGATCACAGACAAGTCCCAGAAATTTGCAGTTAAAATGGACAATAATGAATAAGAAAAATAGCACATTGTTATTGGTTGAAGTGTTGGACACTTGTATTTATTGGGTATTCACGAGTGTGGAACTCGAGAAAGTAAAAATTGTGATTTATTTGCGAAATATATTAGTCTCAAATGAGCATTACAAGTTACATTTCATACTACCTGCAGTAAAGTGGAAATGAAGGGTCTGTAATTTAATGTATGGAGATTGTTTTCTGGCAGTTTGTCACTGTACAGATGTTATCACTGCTGACTGCATTGTTTCTACGAATGTTTATTCTGTTTTTTTTTTTCCAAGAAAATTTGAAAATAACTTTAATTATAATTTATTATGGTACGATGCATTTTACAGTGACTTTAACCAAACATTTTTATCATGGCATTTAATAAATAGATCAGCTTAAACATGATGCACTTAATCTATATTTTCAGTTACTGTAATATAGAACTTGCACTCGATTTTAAGATGCATCTCAGACATTTGAAGACCAGTCAACCTCATCAGGAACATGGTCTTTGGCATTTTATTGGTTTCTGTGATGTACCAATACTACCGATACGTCACAGCTCTCCTTGCTCAGCTACTAGTCAAAAAGTTATGGCTAAATGCACAGCATTTACTAACAATAATGAACTCTTAAGAACATCTCATGTCAGTCATTGTGATCCTGCTTTATCTTAATAACATTTGCAACAAGAAAACAAACAAATAACAGCATAGATATGGAAATAAGACCAATTTATTTTCTAGATCATAATTTATGATCATATTGCACTATCACAGTTAACAGTGATATTATTAGTTAACAAAACATTTCTGGTTGAATTACTTTTACGCAAATTAATCCACCATCTTTAAGAGATGAAAATACTAGAAAAAAATTTATTAGCTCATATGCTCAACACCATGCTGAACTGTTGTCTTAATTTTGTAGAAATAACCCCCTCTCAGCTGTCACCTCATTGGTCAGAGACTGGTCATGTGTTGTCCAATAGGATTAACTTGCTGTTCCAACAACATACTTGGTCCATACTTCTAAATGAACTTGGAAGTGAGCAGTTTACACTGTATTTTACCCTTCCAGACTTCTCTAATTGTTTGATTGAGCAAAACTGTTGGGTCTCTTCTGTCACTTTAGACAAGCCATTTTACTTGTTTTCTTTCAGATGCAGTTGAAGTTCACCAGAAAACTGCAGAATAATTCCACCTCACCAATTACATGATTGTATAATAAAAATGCCGTTGTACAGTTACTGTAGTAGTTCCACTGTATAATTGGTGACCACATTCCTTGTTGGCCAATGAGGCTAATAATGTCACATGTTAAAGTTATATAAACTTTTAGACCTTTAGCCACAGATTTGGGACTTAGCTTAAACTGCTAAACCTGAATAGCTGGATGTTTAAAGTTGACTTTGCAATGATGGTCTGAGAGTGTTTTTTAAAAATAATTGGTGAACAACAAATGTAAGGCATTTAATGAAACAAAATAAAATTCTATCACCACTGAGGACAATAGGTATCAAAACAATTGCAATTTAGGACTGAACTTACAAAGTGAAAAGTGATTGAAAAAGGAGGCACTAGTATAAGCAGCTTTTTAGATTCTTTCTGAAACGCAACTTAATCGACTAAAATTTTGACCAGTCCTTGCCAAATCTGTCAAACAGCTCCCGACAGTATGTGTCTGATCAGATGTGACCATGGCACCAACTGTACACATCATACAACATATGACGAGTTTTAGCTTCCTCAGTCCCACTCAGGATTGTTGTCTTGGTCATCAAATTCATCGCCTCCTTGCCCGTCCTCTCTGGGAGCATCCACTGGTCTGATATTGTTCAAGAGATCCCTCATGGCCTCCATCAGTGCGCCAATGCCTGCCTGCATGTCAGTTGGAGCAGCAGCACCACCTACAGCACCGTCTGGGACATCTGGGACTTCCTGCAAAGAAAGTTTTAAAGTTAATTCTGGTATCTAAATTTTTTCTCACCTTATAATTTGAATTATTGTTTATCTGGAGCAACTATTGTGGTATGCTTTTTTCTTGGTACCTTAAATTTATGTTAACACATATTGTCTGATACTCATCTTTGCATAACCAAAACATATTTTTCAGTCACAAAGTGTACAAGCAGTGCAGAGCTTACTGTACATAACCAACTTTAAATGCTATTTCAAAGTGAAATTTACTCTGAAAAGAAATGGATGAGATTTCTTACAAGGTGAGCTAACTTTTCTTTCCAATTCAATACTCGATCTATCATAGCAGCCATGTCTGATAAATTTCATAAAATTAAAAACTTTTCCCTTTGCTCTTAAGCTTTAAATCATAAAAAGATCACAATCTGACATTCAAATTATGTAAATAAGAGGTGAAATAGACTGAAAAAGCCTAAACAGAAGTTCTGATCAGAACTTTTCATTTCAGTTATTGTATATTTTGATATCTTACTTGTGGGTTAAAGTTGGGCAACATGGACCTGAAGAAAGCTGTCAGTGGATTACTTTCTTGTTGAGCCCTTGTTTGTCTGAAATAAATAAATAAACAAAATTACTATTGTGTTATTTATCTATATCCACTGTAGGCCTTAAATACTTTTTGCAAAAAATTGAACAAGGCCCTATGTCAATTATATAGTTTTACATATTAATTTGTCTGACTAAAAAGCTGTTCCAATCCATGCATTCCATGCATAAAAAGCACACAATAGCACTTGGAGATTTACCTTGCTGGTGGTCTTTCATATGAAGAAATAGAGTCCTCTGGAGGAAGAGGGTCATAGCTCATCACAGGGGTGTTTGCCAAATGCTGAGCAAAACAGAAAACTGTGTTAGTTGAGACAGAGCACAACCACCATTATCATCTTTTTGATTAATCAGCAATTGTAGAATTATGCTACTTGGGCAATGTTTAAATTCCCAAAGGTTGACTAAAATCATACTCATATTATATTTTAACACATCAAAATGAATTTCCATATGATTCTCTTTCAATGTTTTAAAAAATTTAACTCACAGGTGGCAGTGCAGCTGTTGCATCCTTTATTTCTGAGATTAGAATATGGCGGAATATGTTTCTGGGAGTCCCACGATATCTTCCTTGCCTTCTGCAAGAGAGATTTTGAAAATATCAAACAAGAGGATCATATTCTAGGATAACATTTAAGGCTAAGTTGAAATCTGAGACACCAAAACTTCTTCAATTAAAAAGAAAAAATACAAAAAATAAAAATAAATAAATAGTATACTTCTTCCTGTATTCTTCAGCCAGAGGATCACCATCGTCCACTCTCTTGATCACCTCCTTAACATTTTTTTCCAACCACCTGACCACGTCTGGGTCCTTCCAGCATGGGTGACACCTGCCTATGTACAGGGCTATTAGTTGCTTGAGACCTTCTGGCTGGCTGTGGAAGAAGAATATATAAATTATATGAGTTGTTTAAGACCTTTTGGCTGACTGTAGAAGAAGGCAAGTTATACAAGTTCAGGCCTTCCCAACTACCAGACTCGGCACCTACGGGTCCAGAATAAACCGGTATATCTGACCACACTACCCGTTTTCAAGGTGTGTGTCAGATCGCATAAAAGAGTATCATACCCTATCACAAATTCTGTAAGCCTACCTGTCATCCGGGTATCGCGCCTCATTTT